TTCACAGATGAGTCGGTATTGCATATCAACTGCAGATGGCAGGACCAGAATATTGGGAGGTCCAAGCATAATGGAATCGGCCTGAACCAGAGAGTAGGTCCTGTGGTGTTACAAAATCTTGGTCCAAGGAGAAGAGGCGGCATCACAGCAGTGCGCTACATCATCAAGCTCTAAGACCCCATGTCATACCACATTCCGCACGTCATCGAAACAACGTTTTCCAGCATGACAACGCCTGTGCCCACACCGCCAGAGTTACTTGGGATTTTCTACAGCAGAACGGTGTCAACATTATGCATTGGAGACGTGAAATTCTTGAACAAAATTACATCAAAAGCTCATATACTCATAATTTCTTACTTGTTTCAATGTTTATGAGTGTCTGTGTATGCCGAGTATGAAATCGTACCTTCGATTTGCCTACCTTTATCCGTAATTATTAAGACTGTCTATGATATCCAAAAAAATCAATGAGGTAAAGAAATTTGTATAGTATAACTACTCCTGTAATCCACAGCCCTCCCACTTATCATTTTGCTCAATCAACTCGAATGAAGAAAGTAAAATAAAAACATGTGCCATTTATTCCGCCAAGGTCGTTTGCCTCATTCTGATAATCTACTACTATTGAACCAATCAGTGAGTGGGAATCTACGTGTCCTAGAACGTTATGATCGTACGTGATCAATTGCATTGGGGAAAATTTCGAAGTAATCAGATGTAAAAATGGCTAAATATAGAGCATACAGAATGTCATAATATATTGTAACTAATAGTAAACGGATAGTAAAATGATTTGGATAACCCTCTTTTTGTATCCGTTAACGAATATCCGAATAGTATTTTCAACACTAACAGATTTCCTATCAAAACGAGATATCCAGATAATATAACCTCTGGTTTTCTGCTATTTCTAGCCAAGAATAGTAGGAGAACACCTGAACTCTTCAGAGTTACGTATACAGTACGGCCGCCGCGACGCTTTGATGAAACACGATTATCGTGTTGTTTTTTGTTGAAAATTGCCACGATATTGCCACAATAGATAACTCTGTGTAGCAGTCGCTATCGTGTGCCACAATAGGCCTCGGTGTAATTTTACATGCAAAATTAACGGTATTTATTTGTCATAAACAATCGATGTCAAACGATATACTGCCACGATGTTATGAATGTTGAATTTTTTTTGTTAATAATGCGGACACTCGTGTTCACATATTCTGCACGATATATGCGGTTACATTTCCAACCAGTCATGTAAAGCTGCATGTCTAGTACACTTTGAAGGACACGTATGCATAAGACTATAAATGTATTAATTACACAGTTTCGATATTTATGCTGTGTTCAAATTGTTTTGCATATTTACTGTATTAAGAGTGTATAGTTAATAATTACTCTTGAATTACGACAATGATAGAATTTTAAATTGCAAACTATAAAGGTATTTTGGTTATCGGTCTTACAAATAGAAATAAGACATAAATAGAACTTGCAACAGGATTCGAAAGCGCTTTCAAGTCAGACGTAAGCTCATACTTATCGTAAAAATGAACTGATCGCAACACAAGTCTCCGATGTAAGAGAATATTAGTTAATTATAACCGCTATCAAATCCACACAAACGTCATTCCTTAAATAGCCCAACGCCCCTTTAACAACTTATAAAGCATGAATTTTCTGTTAGGCAATTTATACTACACTCTTAGATGTGTTTACTCTGTGTGTTGATGGATAAAACAATCAAAATTAATATTTGTGTCTGTCATAATTATTGGAAACGGAACGTTTGTTTTTAATTAGGATATTAGTGTCTATGGCATGAATACGGTAAGCCGTTTGTATATGCAATTTACAAGTTGAACGGGTGTCAGTTAACCCATTCGGAAGCAAACTCGTACACGGTTAAGGTAATACTTGACTCATATATAAATTGGTTGGAATAAATCAGTTCTACTCATTGGTTGTTTATATTGTTTTATATACCTAATAATCAACTAGCTTGGCTCGCCATCACGACAGAGATTAGTTCACCGATGTTTTTGTAATAAAGAACAATAGTATTGTTTGTTGATTAGCGTTATGATTTTAGACAAAATGATAATTTCACCAATGTTTTTTTGTAATAAAGTAGACCTGTATTGTTTGTTGATTGACTTTATCCCATGATTTAAAAAAATTGGCGATGGTTAATATTGGGTCAAAAATAATTCCTTAAAGTGCGCCGGAGCCCCTTTTAGATAAACAAAGTGGCTACGTGCAATTTTATTCTTTGATCTTTTATACACGGGACATTTCTGTTATTCAAACCAATCTGCACATGAATGACTACACAACAAGTTGACAGTTCATCATTGATTTGGGGTCTATGTGGAATAGGCTCTTCGGTCGAAAAACAGCTTCCATACGTGTTGATTATTCTGTACTTGCCGTACAATTGTATAGTTACATAGTGGAGGTCGATCGTAGACAGGTTTGAAAATTGGGTTTTGAAAAAAAAAAAAAGTCTCTTTCCGGCATGCAAAATAACCGTTGGGTCACCTCTAGTTACGGTCATTTTCCATAGCCCTAGGTCCTGACCGGCATATACGGCCGACGTGGAACCCATGGTTTGAACCGTAATGATCCATAATGAAGTTTATTCGTGCAAACGCAACACTTGTCTTTTTTCACGATTTCATACGCCCACATTTTAATGTGGACGTATATTGTCGCCGCCCCTGTCGGTCCATCCACAATTGTTTATGAACAGTTTACAGGTCACAATTTTTATTCAATTTCAATGAAACTTGAAATATAGGTTTATCACCCTAAGATCTCGGTTCCTTTCGATATTGGCATGTATCGGATCGTAACTTCATGGATTATGGCCCCTGATTGTACAAAAAAATCATGTTTTTAGCTTGTGTACACTGTAGAGGTCACAATTTTTATCCAATTTGGTTTAAACTTGAAATGTTTGCTTATAACCCAAAGATCTCGGTTCCTTTCGATATTCGTACATATCGGAAAGTAACTTCCTGAATTATGGCCCCTGATTGTACGAAAAATTGCATTTTTAGCTTGTGGACCCTGTAGAGGTCATAATTTTTATCCGATTTAAAAAACCCTATTATTATATCACTGTTTCACTCAAAGGACGACTGAGTTCGAATTTCGTGAAAATCGGCCCAAGACTGACAGACAAAATGGCCGCCGTTCGTTCTCAAATAGCGTAAAAAATATGGTATTGTAACGTCCTCTAACAAGAGGTCTGCTATCAGTGAAGGTAAGTCTACCACCAGTGACTTCTTCCGGTAAGTCACGGACCAAGCTCTTCGGACGAGCGGTTAAGAGATTAGCCAAAAGGTAATCTTCCGTTGCTCAAAAACAAACAACAACTTGTAAATTAAATTACCATTTATTCATAAAGAACTTCTAAACTCAGGAGTCTTAGTTACAAATAATGTTGCAGTGTTTTAGATACCTAACAACCAATAAGTAGCGGACGTTTAGTCCGACCCAGATCGCAGAGATAACGATGGCACAAAAGGCACTTAAATAATGTACATGAAACAACTAGTCAAAATCATAATAACAAAACAAACCGGGAGGAACTAAATGACAGTGCGAAAATATATACAATGGCATTAAATTAACATAACAACATACTACATAAAACGATCAGTATACATATTAAATGGCATATATTCCATAATTTGGTTTGATTTATATTAATATACAAAGCATACATATTAGGATATTGAATTATTATATTAATCAATTATGGTGATAAGGAGCGCAGTTCTCTTGCTGGACACTTCATCATATTAAGGAACCTCGTGGGTTTTCTCCTGGTCCTCCGGTTTCCTCCCACTGCTAAAGACCCCTACGCGCAAGCGAATTATTGAAATAAAATTAAAACCATATGTTAGTCCCGAAATGACCTAGTTTGTGTCGAGTGGACGTTAAACCCCATTTCTCTCTCTCTCTCTCTCATCATATTAAGGTTGTGGACCCTATAGAGGTCACAATTTTTATCCGATTTTTTAAAAATTTTAAATGTAAGTTTATAACCCAAAGATCTCGGTTCCTTTCGATATTTGCGCATATCAAATTGTAATTTCCTGAATTATGGCCCTTGATTTTAGGAAAAATCACTTTCTTTTTTATCTTATTCTCTATCCATCTCTCCAAAATGTGGGCGTAGTGTTTATGATTATATTTTGAATGGGAGTCATGTTTTCGAAGCTATATATATTTAGAAATGTCAGCAAGTATTTGTATTAGAATACCGTAAGTAGTTTCAGACTATGGAATGAGTTTCCACTTGAACTGAAAAGTGCAGACAACATAAACATTTTCAAAAAGAAACTAAAAACTTGTTTTTTTTAATGAAGCTTTCGTGATTCCCCAGTGTGGTCTTTAAACTTTATTCCAATATGATATTTAATTTTTATACGCTCACATTTTCATGTGGACGTATATTGTTGTTGCCCCTGTCCGTCCGTCCACAATTGTTTGTGAACACTTTACAGGTCACAATTTTTATCCAACGATATTGGCATGTATCTGACTGTAACTTCATTGATTATTGTCTCTGATTGTACGAAAAATTACGTTTTTAGATTGTGAACACTGTAGAGGTCACAACTGCCTGACAAAATGGCTGCTCTTTCTACGCAAATTCTGTAAAAGTATTTAATACGAAGGTTGTGGACCCCTATTCGATTAAAAGATATCTTTATATCTCAAAGATCACAGTCTCTTTTGATATTTGCACATTTCAGACCATAACTTTATGGATTATGGCCTCTGATTGTACAAAAGATTGTTTTTTGTTTTTAGCTTGTTCTCTATCGATCTGTTGCGAAATGTGGGCGTATCTTGCCTGGCAGTCGCTGGTTGAAGTATTACAGCAAAAATGGCCAGATCTTTATCTAAATCTTACATAATGCCTCTTTAATTAAGAAAACAAATGACGCATCAAGGCTTTAATAAAAGCAATTTTTGTTTTGCAGCCGCCAAATATTCATATGGGTATGCCACCCCAAAGAAATGGTCCCCCACAAGGCCCTCCAAGAGGACCGCCACCATTTGGACAGAGAGGACCTCCACCTAGACCTGAATGGGAAAGACCACCAGGTAACTTTCGAATGCAAGGTAACTCTGTTATTAATATTGGTTTTTTTACGCCCACATGGGAATTTTAGCAATTTTCGTGTATAACTCCTAGAGTTATGGCCCTTGTTAAACCTTGTGAAAGCTTTGATGACAAGAATTATGGTCCGATCTGTATTAAATTCACATGCATTATTTAAATTAGTAAAATGAAAAATTGCTTATGGCCCACATGTTGTCGTCGCCCCTGTCCGTTCACAAATTGTTTGTGGACACTCTACAGCTCACATTTTTTATCCGATTTTGACGAAACTTGACATATAGGTTTATCTCCCAAATATCTTGGTTCCTTTCGATATTGGCATGTATCGGATCGTAAATTAATGGATTGCGGCCCCTGATTGTACTCAAAAACCATGTTTTTAGCTTGTGGAAACTCCAGAGGTCAAATTTTTTTATCTGATTTTGATGAAACTTGAAATGCATGTTTATAACCCAACGATCTTGGTTCCTTTCGATTATGGCCCCTGATTTTACAAAAAATCATGTTTTTAGCTTGTGGTCCCTCTAGAGGTCACTTTTTTTATCCGATCTAAAAAAACTATTCGAATATATCACCGTTTCACCAGAATGAGGGTTGAATTCGAATGTCGTGAAAATCTGATCAAAACTGCCGAACAAAATGGCCGCTCACTGTGCGCACAATTTTGATGAAACTTAAAACCTGAGTTTAAATCCCAACAATCTTGGTTCCTTTCGATATTCGCACATATCGGACCGTAACTTCCTGGATTATGGCCCCTGTTTGTCGAAATTATCGTGGTTTTAGCTTGTGGTGCGACCTGAAGAGGTAGAAATTCTCATGTGGTTTTTCTAGACCATTCTTTTTATTCTGAACAAGAATGTATAGGTAATCAAGCTGTATCCTAAACCATTTTTCTGTGAGGGTGCTTTTTTTTAAAATGGCCTCCAAAATCTTATATATAGTGACTAAGTGGGTTAAATAAGTAACGATGCATACGCCGACATTGAAATGCCACTCAAAGATTATGTGGTCGTATATTGTCGTCGCCCCTGTCCAACCGTCTGTACGTACGACCGTTCGGCGTCCACAATTGCTTTTTATACACCCACATGGAAATGTTGTCGTATATTGCTGACGCCCCCGTCCGTCCGTCCATCGTCCACAATTGTGAACACTCTACAGACTACATTTATTATCTGATTGTTTTGAAATTGATATATGTTGTTTCCATTATTTAATTTCAATAACTTCCGTTAAATTCTTCTGGAGTTATGGCCTTTGTTTCACTTTGTTGCACCTTGTGAACGCTCTAACAACAAAAGTTATCAACCGATCTGTATGAAATTTATATGCATCATTTAAATTAGTAAAACAAAGAAGCCTATTGAATTTCAACAATTTCCGTGAATTACATCTAGAGTTATAACCCTTGTTTCACTTTGTTGAATCTTGTGAACCGATCTGTATGAAATTAGGTGTCACAGCTCCGTTGCCCGCGTTGGAAGAAAGTCGTTTTTCCCGATTTTTAACCCTATTGATTTTCAGCGATTTCCAATTATTACTGCCAGAGTTATGGCCCCAGATCACTTCAAAAAGTTGATAACCGATTGACTATAAATTTATACACAGTGTTTAAGGTCATGAGACGAAGAAGCCTATTGATTTTCAAGCCTATTGTCTTTAAATTTATACACAGTGTTTAAGGTCTTGAGATGAAGAAGCTTATTGATTTTCAGCGATTTCCGATAATTACTGCCAGAGTTATGGCCCTTGATCACTTTGAAAAATCTTGTGAACGCTCTAGAGGCCAAAGTTAATATACAATTGACCTTAAATTTATAGACAGTGTTTGAGGTCATGAGAGGAAGAAGCCTATTAATTTTCAATGAATTCCGATAATTACTGCCAGAGTTATGGCCCTTGATCACTTCAAAAAATCTTGTGGATGCTCTAGAGGCTAAAGTTAACATCCGATTGACATTTAATTTATAGACAGTGTTTAAGGTCATAAAATGATGAAGCCTATTGGTTTTCATCAATTTCTGATAATTACTACCAGAGTTATGGCCCTTGATCACTTCAAAAAATCTTGTGGATGCTCTAGAAGCCAAAGTAAATATTCGATTGGCTTTAAATTTATACACAGTGTTTAAGGTCATGAGACGAAGAAGCCTATTGATTTTCAGCGATTTCCAATATTTGCTGCCAGAGTTATAGTTTCTATTTTTAATATTTTTTCATTTTAATATCATTAGAAAGATAATTGAACGATCTTTCGATCGGTTGGGGGTGCTTTGTCAGCATTTCGAAATACCATGCCTTTTTTGTAAGTTGAACGTTTCAATTCACGTAATCTTTTTTTGAGGTGATTTGCCAATATAGCACCCCCGACCGATCGAAAGTTTGTTTTATTGTCGTTTCAATGCTATTAAAATCAACAAAATCGTAGCATTTTAAGAACCGTCGCCGAGCATTTGAAAATTGTATACAATGGGCAATTTTGTCAAAAATAAATCGCGTAGTTTTGCCTTGTTATGACATCATTTCTACACGAGAAGAAAAATCCATTCCAAGTTCCTGTGACTTGTATTCACCGTAAATTGGGTCGAAATGCAACTCGATGTTTATTTATGAAGAAATCGTTATGTTATATAAATAAAGGACTTGCCTGAAAATAAATAGATATAGTAATTCCATTTTATTCATGCCTTTAGCAGGGCCGACTGTGTTTACATCACGTGACTCATATTCGCGTGCTTTTACGCTGTTAGCTGAATAATTCAAGCCCACTTTTAAAGCATTTACTGTGCACACGAATGGACATAAAACCATAAAATATCCACACAGGTCTCGGAGAGCCATTTGGCATTACGTTACTAACCCAGGGCTGTCAGTAATTTTTCACAGATGATTAGCAGCACTGCTAATCAAAAAGTCCAATTTTGCCAAATTTGATTAGCAAATTTAAAAATTGATTAGCAGTTTTTCAGTTTCAACATCAAACACCTAAATAACAAGATTATTTTAATTTTAATTGATAACAAATGATTAGATTTCATTCTTAAGATTTTTTAGAATTTTAGAACTTCTACAGGTAGTGTGAACATTTCTGAATGAATGTAGACTTTTGGTTAGGCTTTATGTCTGAAGCAAATTCTTGGCAGTGGCTTCTTATTTCTTCGTTAAAAAACAATTTCGTCTGCTTTTTATCGTGTGTTATTATTTTTGTTCAATCTCGATTAACTAGACGCACGCGATATAAACAATAATAGTTTACGGGAATTCTTACTTTGATTTCTCATTTTACAATACGTTTACACGTATTTATTTTTTATATTTTATTTACAATACGTGGGGGATACACTGAATTTATTTTTTTTTCAAATTGAATACTGATATAATTACTCGAAATTGGCATGTCTCGCAACGTGAGTGGTACTACTTGATTCCCTATTTCCGGTTTAATCGTCCCGATTCATAGAGTTATGTCCCTGTATTATATAGTATAATGAATTGAATCTGGGTAGTTCGAGAAGAAAATGTCACACGGAGAATTCCGTTTTGTTTATAAAATTTATTTGATATTTTATACATGTTGAAAGTGTTGAGAAATGTGGATAAATCTTTGTGTCAATATCCAAAATGACAGGCATATTAATGATTCGCAGTTACTGCGAATCAAAAACGTTAGATTTTAATTTTTGATTAGCAACGGACAAAATATGTATCGCAAATTGCGCTGCGATACTGGTTGTCGGCAGCCCTGTACTGACCACAGATGTGAGGGACGATCGCTACGATTTCTATCCACTTAAAAAGGAATTAAACCGAATAATGTTCGACCAACAAAAGAATTAACGCTAGCTAATATAACTTTAAAAAATGACTCAGTTTCTGAATTTGCTGTTGGCGATTTACAACATATCGTTTGAATTTGAGATGATGGAAACGACAGATTATTTATAGTTTAGAATTAGGTCAGTCATGTCAATGAATATGTCGATACGGATACCCAGCGCTCGAAATTAACCACGGCAAACGGCAAAACCGTGGTAAAGGCAACGCAAGCCCCGTCGGCCACAGCATAATTCATATTTTTTTGCCGTGGTAGATCTTATGATCCTAATAATGACTAAATGTACCGGTTATAGAATAGTACCAGGAGGATGTCGTCTGACCGTGCAATAACGTCATATATTTGTTTATCATTTTGACGAAGTCTGACAAATATAATATTGTAATTATCGAATACCGGTACACTTTTAACCCATGTGCTGTAGGCATATCCATGCTTTACCGTTACAGTGGTGTTATTTTCAACGATTATAAACTAAAATAGACATAGAGTGCACGGACTGTTGCCTAGTTACTCTGGCTAATGCATGAACAATGTTACCATTCTCGTCATTTGTATTTTTAACTGTCTATCGTTTGTCACATACGAAGGACCTGGACCGATTCACACCCTTTGTTTATAATTACTATGCCCTATGTAACTGTGCGTAAAAATTCATAATATTTATTTTCTTGCTATTCTTTCAAACTAAAATTACATAAAATAGATCTGTTTTAGCGTTGTAACAACAATATGCCAAACAAACAATAAATTTTAAATTCATTTCACGAACTTTTCGTGCGTATGGATACACATAACTTACTTCCTCCACTGTTTTTGACACTCGTCTGGCATCGATGCCGTCTCACTCTTAATTCTCATCAGTTTTTATTCCATAAATAATGGGGATTAGAAAAGAAATCGTCGATAACTGGAAACTAGATAGCATTGGTTGTGAGTTAAAATCCAACGACAGTAATGTCGTTAAACGTATTTACTGTAAAGTATGCCGTGAAGTATATGGCAGTCCGGAATCCATTACGAATGCCAGTGCCACAGATGGGCCTGTACCGGCGTATTTTCAACATCAACGTATTCGTGGAAATGTAATGAGAAGAATCGATAAATGGGTTATAATAATAATAATAATAATAATAATAAGTTCTTTATTTTCAAAAGGGT